TGAAAAAGATTTCAAGTCATAGAAAAACAAAGCTAAATCAAATGTCTTCGACCTGACCTTTAGCCCAAATTAAGCATAATGTACCTAAATTTGAACATGACCACTCTGATTTCAGATTTCTGAATGAAGGTGGGAGACCACTCCTCTGAAGTTTCCTGAGCTCCAGAGACATTAGAAGGCAAATTAGAAAAAAGGAGAAGAGATGCTCTGATCCATTATTATTTTTCCTGGACAGAGACTGATGCTGCTGAGGAAATCTAGCCAGCATCCCCAGTCTTATTCCCTTTAGGCTTCTGCTCAAGCAAAATCTCATTAAACAAGCTTAGCTATGAGATAAATCCTTTTCTCTCCATTAAGTAAGGTAGGTTGGTGATTTTCCTGAAAGATAAGAGACTCAAGAATGGACTTTAGATTTGTTATTTTCTCTCCCTATTAGGAAAAGTGAAGATACTATTTCTTTTCACTTAAGAACTTATAAAAGGGATCTCCATCTGGTATATATTAGGTTCCACGGGGAACAGTTTTTTTAATTAGCAATGTCTAGGCCCCATTCCCAGAGATTTTTCATATGATTGGTTGGGGATATTTTCTAAAAGTTACCCAGGAATTTCTCATGCGTAGCCTGAGTGAGAACCTCTACCTTAGAGAAGAGTTTGGTAACTACTGGAAAACTTCACTTATAAACAATGTCTATAGTATTGTTTCTCTCCAATCCTATTAAAAGAAAAAAATTTACACAACTGACATTTTAGAGATTCTCCTGAAAATTCCCCCATAACAAATGTTTATGACTCCTACCCATAATGCAGACGAACGTGGGGCATGAGGGCCGTGTCCCAGGTCGCGGTCGAGCCCCTGGGACATGCCCCGCCAGGTGTGGGTCCTTGGCTTCACACAGGAAAGAATTCAAGAGCAAGCCACAGTTGAGTGAAGGTAGATTTACTCAAAGAGATACATTGAAAGGCAAGAGAAAGGCCACCAAGTGTGGGGGTTGGGTGCTCAGATTAAAAGTAGGTACACAGTCCATAGACAGAATGTGGGATGTCTCCGAAGAGGGAGCGGCCACAAGGCACCGAGTTGCTGGTTTTTATGGACTTGGTGGCTTCATATGCTAAGTGGAAAGACCAGTCCAAATAGCCTGGGGAAGGCACTGGGATTCCCAGGAAGTTGGCCATTTCCCACTCTTTGACCTTTTGTGGTTAGCCTTGAGACTGCCATGGCGCCTGTGGGCATGTTATTCAGCATGTTAATATATTACATTGGGCATATAATGAAGCTTAATTCTGCTAGAAGTTAAATCTCTCATCGTTTGAGCCTCGAGGCCTACTGGGGGTTGAATCTTTCACCATTTGTTAATTGCTGTAGTGTTCTTTGAATGACTGTGCCCTGCCTCCTTCCTGTCTCACCTACAGTGTTTAAAACTGTCTATTTCCTCACACTTATGCTAACATTCGTTATTATTAGTATTTTTTTTGCTGCCAAAGTTAAATTAAGTAGAGACAACCACTTAAACATTGTTTCAGACTGAAAAGATGTATAGAAAATAAATAATAATTATTTTGCCCGCTTAATTATTTAGGTTAAGGCTGATGCTACTAATCTTTTGCTTGCAATAAAGCAACATGATCTTAGCAAGTCACTTAAATGTTCTGTCTCAAATTCCCTGTCTCTAAAATGAAGCTAATAATACAGATTTCAAAGTGTTGTTAAAAGCATTTAGTGAAATAATGTATGAAAAGTGCTTATCAAATGCCATACATAAAGCCAACACCCATTAAGTGGTAGGTGTTTTCATTCTATTATTGTTGTTACCACGCACTATATATATTATGAGACACATGTTATAATTTGATAATTCTTTTCATGGTTTTCATAGGTAAACTCACCCTAGCCAGCCTTTGTCTCCACCATTCTACCTATGTTGTTGTTTTTATATACACATATATATATATTTTATTGAAGTATAATCAGTTTACAATGTTGTGTCAATTTCTGGTGTACAGCACAATGCTTAAGTCATATAGGAATACACATATATTCGTTTTCATATTTTCTTTCACCATAAGTTACTACAAGATATTGAATATAGTTCCCTGTGCTATACAATATAAACTTGTTTATCTGTTTTACATATAGTAGTTAGTATCTGCAAATCTCGAAATCCCAATTTATCCCTTCTCACCCTCACCAGTGATATTTATATCAAAGTTACCCATGTCTTACATGACACCAAATCCAGTGTGCACTTTTCTGATCTTATCGTACCTATGCTTCTGTCCTCTTACCATATTTTCTTTACTCTTCTGTGAATGAAAATATTGCAACCATATCAGTAAACAAAGAATGCTGAAACCATCAAGTCATCAGCAGCTGCCGCCACCCCACAGTGAGAACAGGCCTGCAGCCCAGCCTCTGCAGCCACTCACAAAGGTGCCCTCTAAGGAGACTCAGAATAAGAAAGGACAGGATACTGGCCCTAGGTGCTTGTCAAAGGAATGAATTCAGTGAGCCCAAATGTTTGCTTCCTCCCATACACAGAAAAGCGCTAAATTCTTTAACTTGAGGTGCCTGGTTTTCTTTAGCTAACAAGTAATCTTTTAATGTTCCCACTACCTGGTCTTTGTTGGAAAGCTCCTGTATATCCTAGCTCCTCTCCTATCTCTTCAGAGCAGTCCCTCAGAGTGATCTGAGAGGCTGTCATCCGGCTCGATTCCTCCTGCCAGATAAAACATAACTCTTAATTTTTAGGCTGCGCATTTAGTTCAGTCGACACTTCTGTCCTCTTACCTCTTACTTTATTCTTTCCTCTGTCCTCTCCCCACCCTGGTGACTCTGCCTCTTTTATGATCCCTTCTCCTCTATTGAACCTCTAAGTGTTACGGTGCTTTAAGGCTCTGTTTCAAATCACCATCTCAATATTCTTATAAATTACTATTTCTAGTTCATCTCATACAGCCAGTGGCTTTAAATACCATCTAAATCCCCATGGCTCTAAAAACCCTATCTTCAACACTGACTTCTCTCTGGAGCCCCAGTCATCTACTTTGTACCTGATATCTTTATAGGGATGTCAAACAAATATTTCAGATTTAAGCAGGAAAAATCAAAACTCCTGATCTAGCTTCCTAATTCCACCCCAACTACACCCTGTCCAAATCCTCTCCATTTCATAACATAGAATTACAACTTTTTAAATTGTAAATTAGATATTGTTTCATCCTTCCAAACTTTCCAGTGGGGTCCCCTTCTACTTAAAAAGAAAATTCAAATCCTTTACCCTGGTTTACAAAGAACACACCATTGCCTGGTTCTTTTCTTTCTCTTTGACATTATTTAATCACTGGTCCTTTACACTTCAGCTACACTGGCCTTCTTTGTACTTTGAAATCCAATATACTCCTAAATTTTCAGATTGTCATCTGCTCAGAGAGGCTGATTCTAAAGTAGCGACACAGTCTCTATGGTATGAGCCTGTTTTTATTCATTGGACTTAGACATTATTTTCCTAATTGCTAATCTGTTTATTTCCTCCCACTAGTTAGTGTAAGCTCTATAATAAAGTAGGGAACGTCTAACCTTCATTCACATCTCAAAGAACAGAGCCTAGTATTCAATAAGAATTTGTTAAATGCATAAACAAACATATTATCTCTCTTTATGACAGAAAAAATACACTAAAACTTGAAGAATAGCTAGTATAAAATAGTTCTGGGGGAAAAAAATAAAAGACAAGTAATCACTTTCCCTGAAACTTTGCATACATTCTGCAATTGCTTCTAAGGAAATCTGTCAATAAAGTAATGTTTGTTAAATTGCTAATCAAGTGCTATCTGGGAATAAACAACAAAATATTGGGCATGATCTCTAGTATCAAGACATTTTTAATTTAGATGAGGAGTACAACTGTACACATAAAAAGTTAAATACCAGGCAGCAAATATTAAATGCTAAAGAATGACAGAAATAGTATAAGACTCGTTGACTGAAATAAACGTACAGCCTAAAAGTTGAGAGTTAAGTTTTATTTGGCGGACATTTCTGAGGACTCGAACCCCTTCGAGCCCGGGATGACAGCCTCTCAGATCTCTCTGAGGGACTGCTCTGAAGATATAGGAGAGGAGCTAGGATATACAGGAGCTTTCCAACAAAGACCAGGTAGTGGGAACATTAAAAGATTACTTGTTAACTAAAGAAAACCAGGCATCTCAAGTTAAAGTATTTAGCGCTTTTCTTTGTATGGGAGGAAGCAAACATTTGGGCTCATTGAATTCATTCCTTTGACAAGCACCTCGCTATCTAGGGCCAGTATCCTGTCCTTTCGTATTCTGATTCCCCTCAGAGTGCGCCATTGTGAGTGGCTGCAGAGGCTGGGCTGCAGGCTTGTCTTCACGGAGGTGGGGCAGGGGACATCCGCTGATGACTTGATGGTTTCAGCATTCTTTGTTTACTGATATGGTTTGCAGTATTTACTTTTCACAGCTCAAATGCATTTACTTCACAGGATAATAGGCAAGAATTGTTATTTTTGTTTTCTTCATTGTTGAAACATAATTGCGTTTTTAAAAAAGATTTTGATGCCCAACTTAATATGTAATCTGGTAACAAAATTTTGAGAAACTCTAAAAAAAGCTATTTCAGCTAATTTAGGAAAAATAATAACAAAAATTGAAGTCGTTTTAGGAGGATTAAGAGTTTGGACAGAGGGGGAAGAAAACCTTTGCTGTTTTGGGCGCAAATAGACACATTTGGTTGTTCTGCCTTGTATATGTATTTGGGGAATTATTTGAAAGCTAACTGCATTTCATATTGGTAATTTTAAAATATAGAGCTAATTGCATATTTCTAACTGCAGAGATTTCTAACACATACGTGTGTTTCCAAAAATAAGTATTTTTTTCTTCTGAAATAAGTATCTCTACAGTCATGACTTTTGAGGTGAGTCTACATAATGCAAATCAAAAAAGTGATATGATTTTTAAAAAAAAATCAGAGTGTGGATAAGCTTATCAGGTTCATTTATTGTTTTTTAGGAAGGCCTGAGGTAATATAAGGTCATCAAATGCCTAGAGAAAAAGAAGAATGCTGTTACTGGGGAAAAGGTCACAGAAAAGGAAAATGTAAAGATGAATGTTACCTACTTTTACACTTTTGAAAACAGCCAGCCTGGGCATCCACCAACAACAAAATTCTTTAATTATTCTTAGAAAAGAGATGGCAGGGAGGGTCATGTTTAAGTAGAACCTATCAGCAAAAGACAACAATCCTCAATTCTCCCTGGAAACAACTCAGCAAGATGTAGTCTTGAAGCCATCCTGTATGGCCACATCACCATGGTAACCTCCAGCTCAGGCTGGATGTTGTCTGCAGAGCAATAAGAACATTCCTTTAAAGAGAGAAGAATGCATGTAGGTCAAACACACACACACGCACACACACGCAAATACGATGCAAGAGATTCATTTATGGGGCACCGCAAGCTGCACGTTGTAGGCATGCAACATTTGACAATAAAACCTCTCTAAGTCTTTTATTAGAGGAGACATGCAAAAATTTAACCCCAGCTACTGAAGCTGGGAGCACTACTAATATGGCAAGAAAGAAATACTCAAATAAAGTGTGAGTAATAGGGTTTTTTTTTCCTGGCTACGTAATTCAGAAATTGGTTTTCCCCACCTAAAACTAAGGTGGGATAAATCTCATTTCTTTTCCTCTGGAGATACAAAACATCTTTTTTGGAAGCCATGCACATTTATTACCAGGCATTACTGTGTAAAGCATTAGTCAAACATATTTGCACATAAAAAAGATGCACTTCACTCACTGTTAACAATAATACATGTATCTATGTGAGAAATAAGCATGGGCAAAAATAGTTGGAAATAATAATATCAAACACTTTTATAATACTTACTACTTAATAGACACTTTACATATATTCACTTTCTTAATTCTTTCATCAACCCTGTATTATAGGTGCTATTATTTTCCCTCTTTATGAATGAAGAACTAAAACACAAATAGGTAAAGTAATTTTTTCAAGGCCGCACACCTAATCAGTGACTGATCTAGAATTCAAACCTGGTTTGGCTCCAGAGTCTGTATTCTTAACCACTATGATAAGACTGTATTACCAGGCAGAATTCCTTTTTCTTTAGGTAGAAATAATAAAATGTGTCAAGTCTGCTGTTGTGTTAGTTACCTATTGTTGCATGACAAATGCAGCAATAAATAAGTGTTTATTATCTCAAAGTTTCTGTGAGTCAGGAATTCAGGAGCAGTTGGGCTGAATGGTCCTGACTCAGGGTTTCTTATGAGGTAGCAATTAAAGTCTTAGTGAGGCTGCAGTCACCTGAAGACTCGGCTGGGGCTGAAAAATCTGCTTCCAAAATGGCTTATTTTCATAGCTGTTAGTAGAAGGTGTCAGCTTCCTATCACTGGGATTTCTGCATCTAGCAGGTTGGTTAGCCTTACCAAATGGCAGCTGGCATCTCCAGAGTGAGTTTCCCCCAGAAGAGACAGCAAAGCAGAAGCCACATTGTCACATACCATCGATTCAGACATAATCTGTTGGTCACGCAGAATGCCACACACAAAGGCATGAACATCAGGAGCAGGGGGTCCCAGGGAACCATCCAGGAGACGGCCAATCATAGCTGTAATTTGAATTTCTTTGATGAATGTAAAGCAAGACTGGGACAAAAGCAAAACAAGTGAGGCGTGTATAGGGTAAAATGTAAGGAGGCTCCATTCTCAGGGGCATTCCCTGCATTTGTGTGACCCAGAGAAGGAGTACTTCTGTATATTTTGCTCCCTAGGCATCTTTCTTACTTCACCCTAAGACCAGCCTTGGTACAAAGGATAAACACATTTCTTTAATTTCCTGTTTTTTCAATTACTTATTACTGTGGTTCACCCCCTCAGGAGCTTCCCGGGTGAGATCCTAAAGGGTCTCTGGTACAGAAAGAACAAGGAGAGATGGAAGAAAGAGGCAGCCACTCCAGATTGGTGGGTGGTGGGTTTAGTAAGCAGGGAAACTTACATAGGGTGCCACAAGCAGATCTCAGCTTCACTCCACCTGCCAGAATCTTAAAAGTTTATACAGAGGACTTACGCAGTTCAGTCAGGCACAGGTCCACATGGTCTCTACAACACGCCGCTCTCAAGGCTGCATTCTTGAAACTGGCTCCCACTGTCGGGGTGGTGGGGAGAATGTACATTCCAAGGATGGCGGGAGCCGTGGGTGCCTCCAGTTACCTGGATCCAGCTTGTGGGTCAAGCTATGGTTACACCCTCTCCATGACCTCCTCCAAAAATTACAAGGTCAGAGTCATCACTCACTTACCTAGTGGAGTGTTTATCTTATAATTTTTTTCTCTTTAAATTTTAAAGATATTAAGCCTACATACGTTCTTGTCATGATTTTTCACGGTGAGTTTTACCTTTAACACTCGGTGTTTCTAATAGTCATAGATCTGTAACCTGTTTTAGAGGACTAGAATGGAAATTCTTTTTGAAAAGTAATCTTAACCTGGAGCCCTATGGGCTTGCTCCATAAACTCTAATATTGTGATATTTGAGTTACATTTATGCCAGTTTTTCTGGGGGAGAGGTTCATGATCTTTTTTTTTTTTTAAACATTTTTTATTGATTTATAATCATTTTACAAGGTTCATGATCTTAAACTCAAAAAGTTAAAATTACTTCTTCATCATAAGTTATAGCATCATTTTTTCAGACTTTGCAATGTTTGCTCTCATTTGTTCTACAAAACTCTGTAATCATTTTTAAATGCAAGAACATGACCTTCATTACTAATTGTTGCTTGGAAATAAGAATGAGAACTAAATTTAATTGCTTGGATTTTATTTCACTGAATTTTATGAAAAAGAGATTTACATAACAAAAAAATTAAGTCCACTTAACATCTGCTTTTGTGATGTAAACAATATTATAAAATAAAGACAACACCGAAAGAAATAATTTATCCCTACATATAAATTTCTTTTTTAACCCATTTTCTTGTGGTCTAGCTGCACATAATAAATACCAATAGCAATGTATTTGTTTTGTTTTTCACTTTTATCTTAAATATTTATCTGTGTTACACACTGAACACCTCTCTAGGCACTATTACCACACAATCCTTATAAGTATCATTTCACATCTTGTTCATCTTGTTTTCAAAAGCTTTTTATTTCAGAAAATTACAATCATGTAAATGTAGAGATATTGGTATAGTAAACCCTTTGTACCATCACCCAGCTTTGACAATCATCAATCACCTAATCAAACCTAAATCAGAAGTTATTTTGCAGAGATGTGTTTTTAGCTCTTCAAACTTCATTAAATGAGATTAGATCTTAAACATGCAACTTAAGTTTTTAAAGCATTTCACAACTCCATGAGAGACTTTCACTGTTTTACTGCAACATATGAAGTAGCCTACATCACTTTGGAAGGATACTTTCCATGGACAGAACTGACAACAGAGATGAGAACAAACCAAATGTCTTTGAGTTGCCCAAGACACTGGACTGCATTAGAAAATTCTAGGCTGATATATATTTAAACAGATGCAAAAACGTATTAAAAGAGATTGAAAATGACCCAAAATTGAAAAACAGCAAAGCCTCAAGAATAATCAAATTATAATGATTTGTTTATTTTTTTCAATTGCTTCTTTGTTAAAAAAAAAAAAAGAAGGTAATTTTTAAAGAAAAATGTTCAAAGTTTGAGAAATGATAAATCTGGAGGAAAAAAAGAAAGAAACAAAATGTATTTTGTTATCTGAGACCTGGGGAGAGGAGCTATTGACTGCTGAGTTCAATTAAATTTCAGAGAAGAAAGTCAGAATTAGCAAATCCTTAACAAGCCACTCTGGCAGGAAGTAAATTTTTGATTAAATAACATGATTATAGAGTGAGGGAACTTATTCATAGGGAGATATTGGAAAACATCCAAATATATTACTTATTTCTAAGAATTAAAGAAGAATTCAAAATAGCATAAAATGATATTTTAAACAGCATTCAGATAACAACTTGAAACTTGATAGCAGCTAGTGATCTCTGGTTAATAGTTAAATATTAGCATGGATTTGGCAAGTAATTCATACTAATATATTTTTTAAATTTTTGTTTAAAATATGGGGGAAAGTCTCCATTGTTCTGTGATTTGAACACATATAAAATTGATAACAATGAAGCCCACACTCCACAGAGTTGATAGTAGTGAAAAGAAAACTGGACTAAGTATTAAAGATTTAGAGTCTAGCTTCAGCTCTTTCTCTAAATGCTTATATCTTTAGGCCTCAAAATCTTTTACGAAAAAAGTATTGAGCTGAACTAAGTTAAATAGATGATTAAGCTAAAATTAAAAATAAGAAGATTCTCTTAACGTATGCAGTATAAAAGGATCATAATTAAATGTAAATGGTAGTTCTTTTTAAGTTTCTATTTTCAGAACAGGATTATAGAAAAGCTCCATAATAACAAAAGTATTACCTGTGCTGAACTTATATTCAGACAGGGGTGAAAAAAAGGGTATGTTATTATAAAATAATGTTACTGTGTAACGTCATCCAGGTAGGCTTTATTCCAAGGCATAAAAATGAAACTACATGCTCCACATAACAGAAGCCATTCTAGTGATCAAATCTGTACTAACACTGCTTAATATACATTTTGTTGTAATTCCAATTAATATTCTCCATTTGGGAGGCAACACTTAATGAGCCCAGTTATTGAACTTTTGAGAAGCAGTTGTGACTGGCCTGGATTATTTGATACACTCAGGGACAAGGTCTATTTCATTATAGATCTGAGTAGGAAACAGAAAATACTCTAGATGTCAAAGTGTGGTCTCTGGTTTGACAATTGGAGAACTTCTTATACATTGATATTCTTGGATTCTACCCCTATGCCTAATAAATCAGAAGTTCTGGGAGTGCAGCCAGGTGATCTGTGTTTTAACAAGTCCACCAGGTCACTCTGAGGCACACTAAAGTTTAAGAACCACTGCTGGAGATATTTCACATAAGAATAAATTAAATAAGGGTTAGGGGCTTACATAATCATTGAGAAGACCACAGGAGCAAGCTCTGAGCTGGGCCTCCAGAAATGAAGAACAGGATAGAATTGACCCACTAGGGAATTATCACCTCTGGGTCCACTACATGAACAACTGATGTCAAGAACATATGGTGTAGCTGCAGGGGCTTCAGGATGCTGAGATTCAGAAGCCACCATTGTTGCTTCCGTATATGTACCTCTCAATACCGGAAGTTGGAGAGTGAAGCCTGAGAAGCAGCAGCAGACAGACCTCACATCTTCATGACTGTTTCTCACAGAATAACACTCAAAGAAGACAAGAAGATTGCTTCTCCCTCCCAAGTCTCACACCAGGGCACGAGCTTGAGAGATTCCCTCAGTGCCACCAGAAACATGGCTACGTGGGTGTAGCTTAGTGCTGCCACTGGCATCCAATGGACAGCATAGTTCAATCACTACCTGGATGCAATCCATACTGTTTTGAAGTATGTAACTAGTATTATCATTTGGCTTCATCACTGCGTTGAAACACAATTTAAGAAATACTGAGGAAACAAAGGTTTAGAAGCAGTTATTTAAAAGGAATCATGACTCATTTGTTACATGTCATTATCAAGGTTTATGAATTTGCATATTCATTGGTGTAACTGAACTAGTTAAAACAATGCCTGCTATACCTTGGGAAAACACACCTAAGCAATGTATATAAAGATGACAGATAGATGACTGGTTGTATATAAATGAATAGATAGCAATAACTTACATTTCTATAATATAGTACTTTCCTCTTTATACATTTTAATTGAGGTAGGTAGAGTCTAATGTATGCATTTTCATATGAAGAAACTGAGTCTCAAAATTATAAATTTCCACATGTTCATAGCTGGATAATAAGGTAAAAGAATGTAAGTTTTGTAATTCCTAAAGCATTGTTTATTCCAGTCCACTTTAATGCCCTGTCTATATGTCCTCTGAGAACTCTTATAACAGCCACACAGCATGACGGAAGAAAATGGGTACTGAGCGCTAGGGACAGGAAAATAGTTTGAATGCAGGGCAAACAGAAACAAAGCAAGGGCTGAGAGAGGAGTTTTAAATAACAGATCAAATCCAGACGAAAATATTGCAAGTCTAATACAATTCCAGGTATACTTGTATTTTGGTCAAGACAGGCTTACCTATGGTGAGATAAGAAATAACCTCAACATCTCAGTGATTTAAAACAATAGGGGTTTATTTCTTGCTCCATTGAGGGATGTATGGGGACCCTTATCTGGCGTATCTTCATTCAGGAACTACAGCCGATGAAGTAGCCATTAACTGTAATTCAGCAGATCATAGAGGCAGAGTAAAAGCACACTCGAGTCTCTTAACTGGTATTTAAATGACACACATCGCTACTACTCGCACCTCATTGACCAGGATACATCACATGGTCTCACCCAACTACAGTGGAGCTAAGAAGTGCAGTCCTATCAGATGCTTGCAAGGTGGAAAGAAAGCTATGAACACTTGGGAAATAGCATGAATATCTACCACAATGTCAAAGCCAAATTAATAAAGGACGTTTTTATCAAGAGTTTGGAACTGAAGGTCGAAGACAGCCAA